GCAGCTCCCCTGAGGCCCCAGACAAGAAGCACGCGAAGACAGAGGACGGGAAGAAGGAACAGGAGAAGGATCCGGAAAAGCAGGACATGAGCGAAGATGAGGAGGACGAGGAAATCGAGGAGACGGGGGATGACATGAAAGCAATGAAGACGATGATGAAAACGATGATGGGCATGATGAGGGGCATGAAAAAGGGAATGAACGTGGTGACAAAAGAAGTAGGAGAAGCAAAGCAGTTGGCCCAGGAGGCTAAGGCATCAGCAGACAAGGCATTGCAATCGTCCCAGTCGGTGCAGGCGCAGGTGGTAGGCATGCAGGCCGACATGGTTACCAAAAAGGACCTCCCTGAGATGGTACACAACATCATGAAGGAAGCTGGACCTGGACAGACCTCCGGGAACCCAGGAAGCCAGACAGCTACGCAAGGAGTAAGTTGGAGGTCATTCGCGAAGAAGGGGGAAGGTAAAGGAGATTCGCACCTAGAGAAGAGATCGAGGACGATATACTTTGGAGATTTTTCTGAAGACACTAAGGATACAACCATCAAGGGCTTCCTGCATGAATGGACCGATACAGCGAAAGAGGATGTGGAGGAGACGTATGCGTTTGGGAGGTTTGCCACCCGAGGGGCAGTAAGATTCAAGACTCAATCAGCCATGTGGGACTACATGGAAAAGCACCGGGGGAAACTCCAGCACGAGGTCATGGGCACCAAAATCTATGGTAACCCGGACTCGATGCACGATCCGAATCCGAAGAAAACCAAAGCCGTCCGGAAAGTGGTGAGAGTGATCATCGAAAAGAACGGGGGGGACGGCGAGAAGATAAAGAAAGATATTGCCACAAGCTACTCGAAGGGCAGGGTGTGGTGGAAGGACGCTCGAGTGGCCGAGTGGTCGGAGGAGGAGGGGAAGATGAAATTGTTGGGAGCAGCAGCGGCATACCAGCAAGACTTCGATACATTGATTGCCCAGGAATAGGGCGAGGCAGTGGTGAAGCACACAGGTGGAGAAGGAATGGGAGGGGGAGGGGGCAGGGGGAGGCTTGACCATGTGGATGGGGATGTGCCTTCGTGCATTCTTGCCAGTACCAGTAGAAGGACAAATCTTGGGAATCAGTCTGACAGTCAACAGGTTGATTTTCACTTTCACGTAATATGCTGGAACGCCTGCGGAATGCAGGCAGGAACAGTAAACGATGTCATGAGCATGATTGGGGATGAAGTGTATTGGGATGCAATTTTGATACAGGAGGGTCCATTTGCAGAGTCCGATACGTACCGAGTGACGCCAGAGGGTCACGCATTGTGTTGTGGAAAGTGTCACGAATGGAACCGGAGTATCTCTATAGTATTGCACAAAAGATGGCTGGGGGATGCCGCGGATCTATCATTCCATTCTGCGGGAAGACGGGTTGCGTACCTAGACGTAGCGATGGGACGGACGAAACTCAGACTCATTAGTGCGCACCTTCCTCACAGCGAGCGCCCCGACGATGAGTATGATGAGGCGTTGGGGATTATAGGGGAAGTTGTGGAACAGGGCCGGAGGGGAGGGTTCACGAATGTTGTTGGTTTGGATGCAAACGCAGTAATTGGTATGAGATTGGATTCGGACAGCGCGGACATTGTAGGGGAGTCGGGACACGGCGAGAGATGTCAGCGGGGGGATATGTTTACAGCGTGGTTGCACGGTGAACGGCTGAGAGCGACCACGACTTTCGGAGGGAATCCGGTGACTGACCAGTGGACCCACAGGCAGTGGAGCACGGGGGTGTTGAGGCAAATTGATTATTTGTTGATTGATGAGATACAAGGCAACACTTTTCAGCGTTGGGGGATTTTGCACCATTTGGAAGGGAAGTCCGACCACAGAGCGTTTATTGCAGATTTCATTTTCTCGGACAAGCCGAAGCGACAAAGGAGGAAACCGCGCCGGTTAATGAATTGGAAGCCCCGTGAAGACGAAAACGGTGAACCGAAAGATTTCCATGATGCTCTGGATGTTTGCTTGGAGGATAAGAAAGAGGCAGGGGATCCATCAACAATGATTGTGGAAGCAGCGCGGGAGACGGGAACCTGCCCGGGGCAAGGGGGCGGGAAACGCCGACATTGTGATGAAGTCGAGCATTTGTTTGAGAGACGCCGGACAGAATCGGACCCAGACAAGAGGAGAGATTTGTCGAAATCTTTATGGAGAGCTTTGAGAAGAGAGAGGAGGCAAAGGCAGGAGGAGGAAGTTGAGGAACTAGTGCTGAAGGGCATGGGTTTGTCGCGCCTTAAAAGATTGGAAGAATGACATAATGGCGTGACACGCACCGTGAGAATGAAAGATTCGCCAGGGAATGTTTGTTCTGACAAAGACTCACTCTGCGAAGTTGTTGCTTCTTTTTATGAAGATTTGTATCGAGAGAGCGAGGGTAGGGAGCATGTCGTGCCACCGGAAGCCCAAGGGGGACATGTGTCGGAAGGCGAATTACGGATAGCATTGAAGAAACTGAAGTCAGGGAAGACGGGGGCTGATGATGGACTGGTGGCAGAAATGATGAAGACTGACCACCCCGGGCTAGTGAAGACGATTTCTAGTTTCTTCACAGACATACTACAAGGAAGTTTGTTGCCGCCAGCAGAGTGGAGACGCATGAAGTTTCGGGTGATTTTCAAAAAAGGGGATCCGGCCATGCCCCAGAACTATAGGCCCATCGCGATTTTGCCTGTGATGGCTAAATTGTTCAGCACCGTGTTGTACAATCGGATCGCGACATACATAGACGCACGCTTGGGGAGGGAGCAGTTCGGATTCAGACCTGGGAGAGGGTGTGCGGATGCCATACACATTGTGAGGACAATTGTAGAGAAGTCTTTGGAATGGGGAGAGGAGCTGTGGGTTGCGACCCTGGATGTTGAGAAGGCTTTTGACAGAGTGCACCACTCTGCACTGTTTGACTCGCTTGTAATAAACGGGGTAGATTCGCAAGTGGTTGGGGCGCTCCGGCGTTTATATTTTGATGTGAAGGGGTATGTTTCTTTGTGGAGAGGCGCTGAAAGCAGGGAGTTTGAAGTGCAGAGGGGGGTGAAACAAGGAGATCCTTTATCGCCAGTGCTTTTTAATTTGATATTGGAAGGAGCTTTGAAAGAGGCCAGCGCAGTATGGAAAAGGAGGGGGTACGGCACGAACGTAGGATCTGAGTTGCGCGGAGAGAGGCTGACTCACATTGCGTTTGCGGATGATCAGACTTTGATCGCGCGGTCTTGGTTATCAATGAGACGGATGCTTTCGCTGTTGCGGGATGTGTTGGGTAGAAGAGGGCTTTCACTGCATCCGACGAAATGTCAAGTACAGACCAACAGGGAGGATGCCGGCCGAGGGCGGGTTCAGATAGAGGAGGGTTTTTCCATCGAAATCTTGCCGCACGGGTCATGTTTGGAACTTCTGGGGACGAAGTTGTCCCTCGATGACGTGACAGGGAGCGAGATTGCACACCGAATTGCATGTGGTTGGTCGAAGTTTTGGGCGATGAGGAGGTTGCTGACAAGAAAGGGTTTCTCATTGAACAAGCGTCTCAAGCTATTCAACAGTTCTGTGGCGAGAACAGTCCTTTGGGGGGCAGAATCGTGGACCCCGAGAGTCGACGAACTAAGGAGAATACGTTCAACACAAAATGCCATGTTGAGAAGGATTGTGAATAGCGGAAGGGCTGAGGGGGAGGATTGGGTCGAATGGGTGCAACGAGCGACCCGGAGAGCGCGGCAGCTCGCGAACACGGCGGGCGCAAAGGACTGGACACGAGAGCATTTTGAGATGAAGTGGAGATGGGCAGGGCACGTCGCTCGAATGCCCCCCTCTGAATGGGCCCTGATTGTGACAAAATGGAGAGACTCTGCGTGGCAGACAGCAGCTGGCGGTCGATGGTTGCGACCAGAAAGGCCGACTCGTCGACGATGGATGAAGTTTGAATATGCGTTGCGCAAATTTTGTGGTGATGTGGGACACGGAGAATGGATGGTGAGAGCGCAGGACAGGGAGGCATTGCGAGAGTTATCAGTTACATTTGTTGATTGGGCCACCACGCCATAACCTTGCTTCATCTTGCTTCAAGACGACATACTTGATTGTTTTTGTGATGACGCACTTTACACGTCGTGCTGGTGTGTGCGTGTGTTGTTGTTTGTGTCTGGTGTGTCATGTGCGCAGGGTCAATAAGAGTTTGCCCGCGCGGCGTTTGGCCGACCCATCGCTGCAAGTTTCACCGTCCCGCCCCTCGTGGGCCTGTCTCAGCCGGGACTTCACGCTTCACGCTTCCCCTGAGGAGGGGGAGGAGAAGAGGGCGCATGGGGGAGGGAACGGGAGAGGCAGCCCCCAACCCCGCCCCCGATGTGCGGAGCTTCCTCGAGATCGGCGGTCCGAGAGGGGGCTCACGCCGCCGCCGCCGCCAGCTCACCGTTCCTCCTCTCCCTCCCTCTGCTCGTTATCCGTCTCACTATCCGTCTCCATTCTCTTCGCCCTGCATCGTCTTCGTGCTGCTGGTGCCCTTCCTTGTCTTCCCCCCTTCTCTTCCCCCTTCCTCCTTCATCATCTTCCTCCTCCTCCTCCCCCTCCTCCCTGTGCCCCGCCCGTGCCCAGCGAGATATCACGGGGCGGAAAGACTGGGAAAGGAAGCAAGACACGGAGGACGTGGAAGCTAGAGGAAATGCGCGATGTCAGGCTACGCGACAACATTTCTCCTCCGCACGCCACACGCCCATTGAATCGCCAATTCTGCGCGTGATGCTTCCAACGCAACCCTGTCGCCATATCATTATTCGCTCGTCATGGTAAGAACTCGTCGCGTTTCACCTGTTCGCGTGGGGGCGAACGAATATCCTCTGGCGAAATGCTCCATGGGCAAGCCCGGATAAACGATACTTCTGACATGGGTCTCGAACACTCTGCCATTAGAGCATGCACTCGTCGCTACTTTTCCTTCGTGTTCTATCTGCTGATTCAATGTGCCCTACCCGCCTCCAAATTCAAGACTTCACGTACGGGTCCAAGATCGTGCGGGTCGGGAAAAGCGATCTCGAACATGAAATTGAGTGTGGCGAGTCCTCTCCAGATAGACGGCACACCAAACGCACCATCGTACTGACAGCAATGGAACATCACTCAGGCAGGAGCACTGCCAAAAGGATGGACACGACAATGACGTGACCTGAGCGATCGTGGACAATCGCCTTCGTCGCACACGCGTTCATCACATAGACGACCGCGGCGACAACAACGGCCACCTGTGTGAAGCGCTGTGCTGTATTGGCTTAGTGACTGCTTGGGCGCGCGTGCCTGCCACGCGCATACCCCGAACCCACCCCAATCCAAACGATGCCATCTCAACTCTCCCCCCCCGCAGACACGTCACTCCGACCGAAGTCCTGGAGGACCCTGACCGCCTGACAGGCAGACTTCAAGCGCGCCCTCTCCGATCATCCAGCCACTTCCCGAGCGCATCCCGAAGCACTCACCACCAGGACCACCCCCCCTGGCCCTGCTCGCACGTGCGCCCGCGGCCGCCGCGAAGACAGCTTGCGGCGAACCCGGGACGCCTTCAAGCAATCTCAGGGCCTGCTCAGGAGCTGCGCGCGAGCCTGGAAAGTGCTGCCTGGAAGGTTGCTGCCTGGGAGCTGCCTGGGCCCAGCGTGCCACCGTTGCGCGTCCCTGTGGGCGTGTTCCTCCTCCGTCCCCGACCGGCTGGCGACAACAGCGACGACGACCTTGTTGACGAAGATGCCGACGACGACGTTGACGAAGATGCTGATGGTGAGTGGGGTAGCCGTAACGAGGACTTTCCCCACATAGGTAAAACTACGCTTCCCCGTACGACGACGAGAACTTTCCCCACATAGGCAAAACGACGTAGCTTCTAACGAGGACTTTGCACGTACGACGACGTTGACGAAGAAAGTTTGCATGCGGAGGCCCTTGGAGGAAGAGCGCACGACATAGAGGCGGTCTCTTCAAAAGACCGCGCCACCTGGGGCAGAGCCCCCCAATCCACCTCTGCTTCCTCCCCCGCCACCTCCATAGATCCTTCTGTGTCCCTCTCACCCTCCTCTGCCTCGTCGTTGCTTTCGCCCTCCTCTGCCTCGCTGCTGCTTTGGCCCTCCTCTGCCTCGCCCTTGCTTCCGCCCTCCTGTACCTCGACGACGCTGACGACGATCCTCGCTGGGGAGCCCGCAAAGAACATACGCGCCCAACAATGCACATGAACACGGCCCCTCGATCCGCGAGACCGGCCGCGTGATACGAACATTCGCGCAATGCGCACTCTTGAAACCAACATGGATTAATGCACGTGCACGTCCTTCTTTCGCTCCTGCCTCGCGGCCCCCGCGTCCGTTGCTGCCCGCCAGGCCCACGTCCACCTCGGGCGGGAAGACCGACACCTGCGCCGTCCGCGCGGGGCACAAAAAAGGCGCTGGCGGCGCGCGGCGGCCCGGAGCGAGGAGGGGGAGGCTCTCCCCGACAACTCCTGCGCCTCTTCTTCCTCCTCCTGATCCTCCTCCTCCTGCTCCTCCTCCTCCCCCTCCCCCTCCTCCTCCTCCTCCTCATCCTCCTCCTCCTCCTCCTCCTCCTCCTCCTAATCGTCCTCCTCCTGCTCCATATGTTCCGCCTCCTCCTTCTCCTCCTCCTCCTCCTCCTCCTCCTCCTCCTCCTCCTTATGTTCCTCCTCCTCCTCCTCCTCCTCCTCCCTCCTCCTCCTCCTCCTCCATATGTTCCTCCTCCTCCGCCTCCTCCTCCTCATCCTCCATATGTTTCTCCTCCTCCTCCTCCGCCTCCTCCTCCTCTTCCTCCTTATGTTATTCCTTGTGTTCCTCCTGCTCCTGCTCCTCCTCCTCCTCCTCCTCTTCCTCCTCCTCTTTATTATCTTCCTCCTTATGTTCCTCATGATCCTCCTTCTCCTCCTCCTTCTCCACCTCCTCCTCCTCCTCATCATCATCATCCTCCTCTTTCTTATGTTCCTATTGATCATACTTCTCGTCCTCCTCCTCCTCCTTATGTTCCTCCTTCTGCTCCTAGTGATCCTCCTTCTCCGTCTCCTCTTCCTCCTCCTCCTCCTCCTCCTCCTCCTCAGCCTCATCCTCATCCTCGTCCTCCTCCTCCTCATTCTCCTGATGTTCCTCCTGAGCCTAATCCTCCTCCACGTCTTTCTCCTCCGCCTCCTCCTCACTGCAGCCTTACAGATGCAGGCTCTGGCGCCCCGTTGGCGCAGCCCTCCCCCACCCCTCGTTTCAGCGGCTTTCGCCGCTGGAGAGGGGCGGGAGGGGGAGGGGCGGCGGTAGAAGAAAACGTATGTAGGAGGCGGAAGAGGCGGCGCGCCTGAGGGGAGAGAAGAGAAACGACGAAGCGGCGAAGCGACCGAGGGCCTGCGACAAGAGCTCACAGAGAGAGGGCACGAGAAAAAGGGAGAGGTGCCGCAGCGTAGGGTTGGTCAGGATGGTCCGGCCAGCGCCGACGATGACCTCGTGGTGCCCGCCCATTTTAACTCACTCCCCCGACCACCGCCACGGTTTGGCGGCTGGGCGGCGGATACATAGGATGAGATGATTGGGTGAAGTGGCATGCATAGGCAGCTCAAACGGGTTAATTCGTAAAAACATGGCGGCGGAGAAATGGTATGAGACAGCTCCGGAAGAGGAGCGCAAGGAAGACCTTTTCCTCCTCCTCCTCCTCCTCCTCCTCCTCCTCCTCCTCCTCCTCCTCCTCTTCGAGGGACGGCGGCGCGGCAGCCCGGAGGGAGTGGGGAGGCAAGCCGGCGAGCCCCCCGCGAGCCGGCCGCGGAGGAAAGGGGAGAGAAAGGAGGGACTGGCAGGGACGGCTGCCGCGGAGGAGATAGATATAGGAACGGGCTGTAGGGAGAGGAGGCGCCAACCGGCCGGCCGTGGAGGAGGCAGGAGTGGGCCGGGTCCTTTCTGGTGCACGACCGCTCCACGCTACTCAGCAAGCCTTTCCTTGGGAAGGGCGCGGGGGCGGCATCCTGCCGCAGGTGGGAAGGCCGACGATAGCCGCAGGCCTAGTCGAGCAGCACAGAAACGCTGCTTGACTCCCCCCCAAAAGGGGGTGGATTGCAGCAAGCCGGAAACAAAGGGGAGGGGGGGTGGGACTGATCCAAAGAAGGATTTGCTCATGATGACGCCTCCCCCCGCAGACGACCAGGGGAGGCGCGAAAAGCCACAGGGAGCCACGCCCCGGCCCCAAACCAAGCCCGCGGCAGCGCGGGGCCGGCAAGCGCCCCGACCTGGAAAATCCCAGGCGCCTGCGCCCATGGAGACAAGCCCACGACCCGACCCGCCCACCCAAGCAGAACCGCCGACACCCACGAAGCCCCCTTCACGAATGCAAGCCTCCTTCGAAGGAGCGCATTCTAAGGACGGCGGCGCGGCAGCCCGGAGGGAAGGGGGAGGCCGGCCGGCGAGCCCCCCACGAGCCGGCCGCGGAGGAAAGGGGAGAGAAAGGAGGGACTGGCAGGGACGGCTGCCGCGGAGGAGGTAGAGGTAGGGAGCGGCTGTAGGGAGAGGAGGCGCCAACCGGCTGGCCGTGGAGGAGGCAGGAGTGGGCCGGGTCCTTTCTGGTGCACGACCGCTCCACGCTCCTCAGCAAGCCCTTCCTTGGGAAGGGCGCGGGGGCGGCATCCTGCCGCAGGTGGGAAGGCCGACGAGAGCCGCAGGCCTAGTCGAGCAGCACAGAAACGCTGCTTGGCTCCCCCCCAAAGGGGGGTGGATTGCAGCAAGCCGGAAACAAAGGGGAGGGGGGGTGGGACTGATCCAAAGAAGGATTTGCTCATGATGACGCCTCCCCCCGCAGACGACCAGGGGAGGCGCGAAAAGCCACAGGGAGCCACGCCCCGGCCCCAAACCAAGCCAGCGGCAGCGCGGGGCCGGCAAGCGCCCCGACCTGGAAAATCCCAGGCGCCTGCGCCCATGGAGACAAGCCCACGACCCGACCCGCCCACCCAAGCAGAACCGCCGACGCCCACGAAGCCCCCTTCACGAATGCAAGCCTCCTTCGAAGGAGCGCATTCTAAGGACGGCGGCGCGGCAGCCCGGAGGGAAGGGGGAGGCCGGCCGGCGAGCCCCCCACGAGCCGGCCGCGGAGGAAAGTGGAGAGAAAGGAGGGACTGGCAGGGACGGCTGCCGCGGAGGAGATAGATATAGGAACGGGCTGTAGGGGGAGGCGCCAACCGGCCGGCCGTGGAGGAGGCAGGAGCGGGCCGGGTCCTTTCTGGTGCACGACCGCTCCACGCTCCTCAGCAAGCCCTTCCTTGGGAAGGGCGCGGGGGCGGCATCCTGCCGCAGGTGGGAAGGCCGACGATAGCCGCAGGCCTAGTCGAGCAGCACAGAAACGCTGCTAGACTCCCCTCAGAAGCGGTGCGGTTGGTTTAGAGGTAATGGAGGTGCGGCCAGAAAGGCTGCGCCTGCCCCATCGAGGCTTTTCCCACCTGCGGGATAATTATAAGGAGCAACGACGCGCTCCGCAGGCGCCAGGGGAGGACACGCAGAGGCGAAACAGCGCGCCACCCCGGCCAGCATTATCCGAAAAACGCGCGTGGAAGGCGCGCATCGTGGAAGGCGTGTTCCAGCCGCCCTGCGCTTGGATGACCTCCTCAGGAACGCCACCCTGAGTCTTCCACCAGTGCGCCCCGCCCTTCCTGAGCGAGTGGGAACCCACAGTACTGTCGCGACACACAGCACCGAGGGCCCTGCGAAGCGTATCATCGCCAATCGCCCTGGCCGGAAAGGCGTTAGTGACGCAAAAAAACGACACGTCGCTGGATCCTTGTCCCAGATAGACGCTCTGAGCGCCTGCCAAGCGCGAAGCAGGCTCACGGGGCAGCCAGGGCCAAGCTGCGGAATTGCTGGTATGAAACAGAGCACGCCTCGACCAAAAGGGTCGCTCTTTTGTTTGCGGACGTGAAGCTCCATGCCGTCTGCTTTGAAACGGACGTCGTTACACAGCAACGCTCGCATCTCTGAGGAGCGGCGGATTCCAAAGAAACATAGCGCTGCTGACGCTGCGTTGCGCGCGCCTGCTGGTGAGCACTGGTTGTGCGAGGCCGTTACAAAATGAAACAAGTCTGTAATGCTCAGAGCTCTGAGCATTGGCCGCCGAAAGCGTGTGATCACAAAGCTTTTTCAATCCGCGCCAGTAAAGCAATGTGCGCTCAGTCCACGCTTTCTCCCAGTCTCCCAAGAGATTTCCCTGGACGTGCCATCCTCTCACCGCTGCTTTGGCTGTGGCGACAGAATTCCACGGGGACCCTTCGAACTGGGAAGATAGTGCCGTGAATTTCAGATCCGTACTGCACGGCAACAGGGGCACCCCCGATGCGGACTCCAGCTCGCTGACGGGCCCGCGCAGCACGTAGTCATACCGCGCCGTAGTGGGGTCCTCCCACGCTGCTTGGATGCATCTCTGCATGGCAGCCTGAGCCTGCTGCCTGCTGGATACCTCTGTTGGCGACGTGCCCCCCTCCAGCGCCGAGAGGTCCACAGGCTGCCCAAGCAAACGTCTTTTTCCCAACCGATCCAACGCCCCCGGCCTTGAAGGCGAGTCCGCGGGACGCACGCGATAGGCTGTCCTGCCGACTGGGTCGCGCACCGAGGCTCGCGGGCTGCTCCGGGCGGCGCCCAAAAGTGTGGAGTTTAAGATGGAGGCGGCAGCATGTCCGGGCGCGCATGCAGGCGTAGGAAAATCATCGTGGCGTATGCACGCCGGACCCAGCCTTGGGCGCGACTGGGGGCCCGAGTCGAGGGGGCTATCCACGGGGCGGCGCCGCGCCATTCTTGAGCCTGCGCGGCTGCGGCGCTCGCGCGGGCGACCTCCGGGCGCCGCGGGCGCTGGCGACGGCTGCGACTAGGCCAGCGAAGACAGACGACCAGCGGAAACCCGAGTCGTGAAATGACTCCGACGGAAGGACCCCGCGCGTTAACCTCCAGATCGTGTGTGGGAGGAAGAGATCCTGCGCGGGGACGTGCGGAGAAAACAAGAACCCCCCCTTACATGTGGGGAAAAAAACAAGCACCGAGCGCCCGCTACCTGTTTTTTGGCCTCCAGGGGCCCACGCAACACCCACGGGGCAGCCGAAAAACGAAACAAGGCGGAACCGCCGGACCCAGGAGAAGAGAGCCACAGGAGCCCTGGCAGGTGCAAAGGAAAACGCGACGTCGGATGCCTGCGACGATATATTTTCCAACGGCGGCCAACGGGCGGAGACTCGCTGCTGCGGCCGAACAGAGACATGCCAATCAAAGATGTCGTACGTAGCAGAATTCGCAAACCACACGCAGGCGAACGCCCGGAAGTGAAAGGGATTTCCCAGGAAGGGGAGGGGGGGCCACAGAAGAAGAGGAGCGAAAAGCTTATCTTTCTCATCGGCCCCGTATAA